CACATGCCTTCCTTACTGCCCATGCCAGCTTCTGCACCTTTCATGTTGGGTGTGTTCTGCTCCATGTGCCATGAATGCCCTTTTCCCACTCCACCAACACCCTTCCCCTCTATTTGCCTGGAGAAATTCTACCTTTCTTCCAGGCCTCAGCCTTCCAGACCAGTTTTATCTGTTCATGTGGAAACCTACAATATTGTACATCTACAGGAATTTTATCCTTTATATGTAGCCATTTTTAAAAATTCTGGCTTTTCTCCTGATCTGTAAGCTCCTTCAAGATAAAAACTGTAACAGCCAGGCCCTGATAGCTATGATTGTAATCCTAGCTACTTAGGAGGCAGAGGTCAGGAGGATTATGGCTCAAGCCAGCCCAGGCAAATAGTTCACAAGACCCTATCTCAAAAAACCCATCACAAAAAAGGGCTGGTGGAATGGCTCAAGGTATAGGCCCTGAGTTCAGGCTCCAGTACCACAAAACAAAACAAAACAAAGCCTGTAGCAGTTTTGCTTGCCCCAGCTTCTCCAGGGCTAGTCAATGGGTCTTACACAGAGAAGCTCTATAAATGTCAGCTGAGTGACTAATCCCAATAGAATACAAACATCAGATTTATAAGAAAAAAATGGTAGAGAGAGAATGGTTATGTCCGTCTAGTTGGTGATAGTTCAGACTCACTATAGTGCAACCCCAGAGGTTCAAATTCCCAAACAAACATGTCTTACTAAAGTTGAGTCCCCTGGGTGGGTGGAGTGGCTTAAGTTGTACAGTGCCTGCTAGCAAGTGTGAAGCCCAGAGTTCAAACAATGATTGAAGTTGACTGTCTTGCTACGATGAAGCAAAAGCATGGGCAAAACAACATGCTTCATCTCCTTATATATTTATCTAAAACAGCTAATACAATTCTCTAGTTCTGGAGAGTCAAGAAGAAATGTGACAGAAAGGCTTTCACACTGCCTTGGATTCTCCATACTAGACAATCACTTGGGCAGCCTTGAGTTCACTGGTCTGTTTCACATGACAAAGAATCAAGTGAGAATTAGGCCGTTGGTCAGAGTTAAACACCAAAGGAGTGGAGAGACTGCCCAGTCCATAGGATCTGGAAGAAACCTTTTTTATCGTCCATTTCTCTTTTCTTTTCACCTATAAACTAGGTATTCACGTGTTTGCCTCTTTCCAGGTTTCACACCTGTATTAACCCTTTCCAAAGAAGAATTACCTATTGAACACCTATATGTCAGGCACCAAGCCCAAGCATCCAGTAAGATAAGCATTAATATGCTCACTTCACTCCCCAGGAAGCTGGCTAACTTGGCTATGTTTTCACACCCGAGGAACACTGCAGCCCAGAATTAGAACCTACCAAAAGGTATTCAAAACCCATTATTTTTTTCAGCTACACCTCTCTGATTTGATATTCAAGGTCTTGTACCAATGCTATCCTTTGGTGTCAGAACAATCAATAATGTCTATTGGATGAGAGAGAATTAGCTTACCATATTAAAATAGAGGGGAAATTTTATATAAAACAGAATGAAAGTATTTTTGCTGTGTTGTTTAACAAGTAAGATGAAGAATGTGAAAGGGACTCAGGAATATGACAGGAAATGTCCAAATGCTTTTAAAGATTTGGGTAAGTGTTCACCTAGGAAATCTTCCTAGCTTTCCATGCTAGGAAGTCTATCACTTACAAAATGAAGATGTGTGTGTGTGTTAACAAGAAATGCTTTGTTAATGTTCTGTTAGCAAGAAAGGCTTTGGAATGAAGATGCCATGGCACTGTGCAAGACCTCAAAACACAAAGTTGTGACTCAATTATTTTAAGTGAAGAATTCGAGCATTTGTGAGTGCTAAACAGCTGATAACACTTGATGGAACGCAGAGGCTCTGCGCGGGTCCCAGGGAGGTAGAAACACCAGAAGGGAAGTCCTGGGGATTAGTCCCAGAGTGCTTTCTCTGCTCCTCTGTCTCTAGAAGCCAGATAACAAAATTTTAAAAATGAAGTTGAGAGCAAAAAAGTGACATGCATTCTTAGCAGCCTTTGGAAGGAGTGTTTTTGACATCATCTTTTAATACACATTTCCAAATATCATCCACCCCATAAAAATAGACATGGAGAAGTCTGAAACAAAACAAATCTATGTTTACGTTCTCTTGTAAAAACTTACCAATGAAGAGCAAGGAATATTTAGTTTAAAATATCACAGCCTTGCAAGATCTCTGCCCTTGTCCTGCAGTTAATAGTCTACCACATATAGTATCTGCACACAGCCAAAGACTACATCTGTTTAAAAAAAAAAAAAAAAACATAGATCTTTCTTATCTTGATGGTTGAGTTTTACAGTCCTTTGCAATGGTGCCCCAGTCACCACAGTCAGAGTAGCTGCATCACAGTAAAATATAGTACAAACAAGATTTCATTAGGGAGCAGGTTTTTGTTGCTTTTTGTTTTCCCCAGCCCCTCAAGGGCCTCTGTTTGAGTCTCTCACCTGGCTGCACAAAAGCTGTGGAGTCACTTGAATTGAAGGGTCAGGTTGCAAGCTGTGCAGTAGGAAAGCACTGTTCAGACCACCCAGCTCTCCAAAGGGGGCCAACATCAGATTCAGACAAGATAAGAGGCTGCCCTTCTGTGTGACCTGGCCCAGGGAAACAGCCTTTCTAGTTGGTTACGTGGTCCCATTGTGATGGATGGCTGTGTGCTCCACAAAGGTGGGTTTTGTCTAACTCAGTATACCAGTGGTCTTGGTTCTTTGTGAGAAGAAATTTTATAAGATGTCATATTAAAATTTATGAAGAAGAACAATAAACCAGGTCTTTGGGCCTGTTCCCAAAGCAAATGCTGCAAAGATCCCATACTCCACATCTGTGTTTAAAAGAAAGAAAACTGTATCCACCAGAGTCAGGACTAGAAAGATACCACAAGTCATTTAATCCACCTCACTTTACTGACAGAGGAGGGGAAGGTTAGAGCTCTCTTAATCTCATCCAAGGGCTCATCCAGAATTGGTAGGCAACAGCTAAGCCTGGAAAAACCATGACAGCGAGGACCCTGTCCATACCATTCACATTGATCATTCTGGAATCCTTAGAAACTAGCACTGAGCCTGAATGTAGCAGGTACCCCAAAGTACTGAGATGAGGAGAGGGAAGAAAGGAAAGAGCTTTAATGACCACATCCTGTTTTCTTTTGACTATAAGTATTAAGTGTCAAAAATGTGGGGATGAAGATAGAGGCTGAGTTCCAGCTTCCATATGTTGTCCAATAAGGACCTTTTGATGGGTAAACCACTTCCTGTTTTCAATCCCTGGGGATTGGCCCAAATCGAATTCAGTTTTTAGGAACAAAACCCCTGAACTGTTCCAAGGAATCCAACTCAGTTCAGCCCAGTTTAGCCCAGCCCAGCTCAGGAGTAGAAGGCCGAAAATGAATTAAGAACAACTCTGGTAAAAGTATTCAAGACAGGGCTGATGGAGTAGCTCAAGTGGTAGAGCACCTGCCTAGCAAGTGTGAGTTCTTGAATTCAAACCCTGGTACTGCCAAAATTAATTAATTAAAAGTGTCTAAGACAAACATTGCTCAGCCCATACAGAGACAAATCAGGCTGCACAGCCCAATACCTGACACCAAGGTAAAACGATATCCAGGTACCTGTGACTAACTCCTTTTCTCACACATGGGAATGGAAAGACAGGGTCAGAAAAGGAAGCAAGGAAAAAGAAAGATGAAGCTAATGGGAAAACTGGTTAAAAAGCCTGGTTTGGGGGTCACACAGGCAAAACCACATTGCACCTAAGTTAAGTTCAATGTCAGCTCAAATTCAGGTTTGTTATTTAGATGTGAGGTTTGGTATTAACCTGCTACATGACAAGCATTTAACCACCAAGAATGATGTAAAGCCATGTTTACCCAAGTGCAGTGACACCAGCATCAGTTTCACCTTGTAGACTCTTGGCCCCTCCCCAGGTCTAAAATTCTTTGGGGGAGTGAAGGAATCTGCCCTTTCATCACCAAGCGCCCAGGAGGTTCTCATTCACTTTAACTTTGGAGAATCCCAGAAGAGAGGGCAGTTAGCATTTTCCTACAGCGGCACAGAGGCACTTTTATCAAGTGGAGGCAAGGATGGGGGTGAGGTTTTAAAGGTGACCAGCTTTAAGCACAGACAGGAAGGGTAAGGATTTTCCAGAGCAGAAACCTAAGAGCAGCTAGACCACCGGGTCTGGTGTGGAAAGCAGCCCTGAAGAGGTTAATCTCTCCCCAGCAGGATTCTCAGCCTATAAACATCAAGCAGCCCCCCGCCCCAGAAATGCTGTTTTTTAAGCTTTGTAACACACCATGCATCAAGCCTGAACACAATAGTAAAAATCCAGAAACGAAAATTGAGCGTCTTGAGAATGATTTCTGTGATCCAGATGAAAACTAAAAGAAATGATTTACTATGGCGCCAAAGTCTTTAAACCAAATCTCAGTAATGAGCAGAGAGAGCTTAAATATCAGAAAACTTCAGAACAATGTGATTGCTTTGCCTTCCCAAATCTATCTCTCATCCCCACACAGTGCAAGTCATGCATTTAAATAATATAACCACAGGTAGCTCAACTACAGCAAAAGTATCCTCACATCATCTCCAAATGTCTCGATTTTTTAATGCCCTGAGGATATTATCTGTCTTCATTTTTACGTCTTTTGGCTTTGCCATCATTCAACTGAGTGGGAACGGTCTAACTCCAGGGGACATTTCAAGAAATTTTAAAAAATGCTTATTTCATTGGTGGGGGCCATTGGGATGAATTCGGAAGAGAGTTAGAGTTGGGTGTCAATTCTACTTTTGGCAGCTGCATGTTGCCCACCTTCTGAGTTAACATGAGAAGGAAACTTTTGCAAGCAGCTTCTGCAGACTTCTTGCATTGTTACTGAGCATTAACGAGCCCTCCAAAAGCCTCTGGGACATTCTGCTAACAGAACATTCAGTCAGGAGAAGAGGAAGCACAAAAAGCAGATACTTACAGGTAGTGGTTTTCCTTTCCGAGCCAAACAACTAGCCCTTGGCACCGGCCAGCTAGGTAAGAGTCAGTGACCCGGTAATCTGGTTTAAAGGGCTTTGAGGAGAAGGGGGAGGAAAAATATCCCAATGAAGGAAGAGAGCTGAAATTCCAGTCTTTCTGGTCAGCTGAGTTTGAGTTTTCTTTGTACTAAAAAATCCATTAGCCCATACATCAAAAAACAGAGAACTGAAGTTCACATCCACACTCCGGTTCCTTTGCTGGTCTCCTCTCCCAGACTGCTGCTGCTGCTCTGCAAACTTCCCAGCGCGCAGCTTCAGGACTCCCTGGGAGACGGGAGAGTTAAGGATGCTGGCAACTGTTTGCAGGGAGCCCGACCTCCCTGGCCCAGAGCCACAACTTCCGTCCCTTCGGCTCCAGGGACAAGACTGAGCTTTTGTTAATAGGTCGCCTGCTTCTCTTCCAGCTTCCTTTCTCACTATTAGTGATGTACTAACTGCTCTGCCACTGGCTGAGCCCAAGCAGCCTCTCCCTCCTGTAGCACACAGGCTCACACACACACACACACACACACACACACACACACACACACAAGTGCACACACACTGACACATGTGCATACACACACAACGCTACACATGAGGATACCTACAAACACACTCACACAGACTCTTCAAACATACTTTTTACCTGCACTCCCTTTCTAGGAACAAATTTCAGCCCAGAAAGGTCTGTATTCAAATTCAGAGGACAGGCCAGCCTTGGGTGGTGAGGAAAGATGGTCCGTTTTAACTTTTGTTATGGCATTTCAAGGAAAAGATGGAAGAATGGATCCAGATTCTAGGGACAATGTTTTTAAATGTCACCTTATTTCCTCATTTACAAAGCTGTTCATGTGTCTACTTCTTTTTGAAAAGCCACCACTATTCTGATCCATTTGCATATAGTTCACCATCCCCCAGGACACGGACTATCTTCTCCACAGAGATCCAGTTAGCTAAACTTCTCAGGATTCTGTGAGTGCTGAAAGTCTTTCTTTAACAACTGTTTAATAAAATGCTTCCCGGTATTCTATTCCCATGGAGGGTGGGAAGAGGACTTGCCCTCGGGTCTAACTTTTAAAGTAGCCATAAATAAAAAGCCAGAGTATCAGCTCATTTTTGGAGAGCTGTTCATATTGAGACTTACTTGTCTGGCCAGTGTAAACCTTAGCCCAAAACAAAAGGCACCATGAATCTAATTCACCCTGGATTGCTTTCCTGTAGCCAGTCATCATCCTGTACCCCTTTCCTTGGAAGCAATGAAGAGAAGACAGAGGGAAATGAAAAAGAGGAAGAAAATTGTGTGAGAAAAGAAGAAAAAGAGGAAGCAAGGAATGTGGGGAAGAAAAGAAATGACAATAATGCAAGGAAAGAGAGAAAAACAATTGCTTTACTATTAAAAAACATGTTTTATGAATCTTTTAGCAATAAACTTACATGTATACTTACTCAAAGTCACTAGAGATCTAAAATCTTCAAGAATCTTTTGATTTATTCCAATTTCTCTGAGAGTAAATGGTAAAACTTCTTAAAGAATCACTAAGCTCTCATAAGTAAACAAGCACTATTTAAAAACATGATTAAACAAATAAAATGACAATGTATGAGTCGTGTCTTAATCTTGAAAGGCCAGGAAGTAATGCCATACTAATGACACAAAAGAAATACCACAACAAGAGATTTGTTATCAAACTGAATTAAACAGTTGCCAGGTTGTAAATGTCTCACCTGCTTTTAGATGCTTTTTGTTGAGGCTTGGAATCCATTTGACAAAGGAATGACAGAGTTTGTGCAGGTGGTTGCATCCACGTTTCTCCTAAATCTGTGCTGAATAAGGTTTATGGATTAGTCTAGAAACAAATAAATGTTTTATATGACTTCTAGGGAAAAATATTCTAAGAGAAAAGTAAGCAAACTTAGATTGCTTACTTTATATTTTGAGGTATCTACACTAAAGGTAATCTTTGTAAAATTAGTTATATTTGCAATGCTGGTGTCACTGAGCTGAATATATTCTAGAATAAGCAATTAGAATCAGTCAAAATGTCCTGAAATCCAAAGTATTCTTTATACAAATAAGTCACTCTTTCTTTTAAATCTTCCACAAAAAGACAGTGGCCTGTTGAAATAATACAATTACCAATTTTAATCAATAAAGTGTTCTTTGAGCAAGTGAAATGCAAAGCCAGGGTTTTTGAAAAGAACAACCAGAGAAACAACAAAGATCTCCTAAAAGCGTGTACTACTGAGCTTCATACTGGAACAAATGCATTTTAAAGAAGTCATTTTATTTCTAGCCCTGATTGGAGTGACATGAAAAATGACATGTGTTGGAGGCTGGCATACCTTTTTGTATTGTAAACATGAATGATTTTGTGGAATTGTTGTAGAATGTAGCATTCTCTGAACTGCCCAGCTAAAAGCTCAACAACTACTCATAAAAGAATTAAGAGTGTGCCTGTTAGAATTTGTTGATGGCCCTAAGCACAGAGGAGTTATTCACTACACTGTGAAGGTGTCTTTCCACCAAGTCTATAAAACCAGATGACTATAGGAAGCAATACTGGGACAAGGGACTATCAACCCAGGAGAGGAAAGGTCATGCATAACACACTCTAAATAAATAAACATAAAAACCAACAAATAAATAAATAAAAGTAAAACAAACACCTCTGTGTGCCAGAAAAGAACAAAAGCACAACTCAGAAAGGGTTTGGAGGGGGAGGGTGGCTGACCTCAGAGATCAGACCTGACAGGGTGTATATGTTGGGAAGAATATCAGGGACTAGAACAATCCCTGAGTAAGGCAGAAGAGCCTCATTCTGTGCTTGAAATCATAAGCAATATCCCCTCACACCTAATAGGATAGGTATTCCAAAACACACAGACACAGGAAAGAAGACAGCAAGTGTTGGTGAAGATGTGGAAAAATTGGGACCCTTGTACATTGTTAGTTGTAATGTGAAAAGGTGCAACCACTACAGAAAACAGTATGGTGGTTTCTTAAGAAATTAAAAACAGAATGACGTTATGATTCAAAATCTCATGCTGAGGTATATATCTAAGAGGATTGTAATCAGGACCTGATGGAGTATATATGCCCCCATAGCCATTGCAGCTTTATTCACCAGAGCCAAAAGTAGAAGTGACCTAAACATCCAATGACAGACAAAGAAAATGTGGTTTGTACAAACAGTGGATTATTACTCAGTCTTTAAAAAGAAGGAAATCCTGCTAGGCACAATGGCTCACACCTGTAATCCTCACTACTCAGGTGGCAGACATTGGAAGGATTATAGTTTGAGACCAGCTCAAGCAAAAAGTTAGCAAGAACCCATCTCAACCAAAAAAAAAAAAACAACAAAAAATCAGGATGCAGTAGTTTGTACCTGACATCCCAGCTACACCAGAAGTGGAAGTAGGATAATTGCAGTCCAGACCAGCCCAGGCACAAAACCCTATCTCAAAAACAACCAAAGCAAAAAGGTCTGGGTGCATGGCTCAAGTGGTAGAGTGCCTGCCTAGCAAGTGTGAGGCTCTGAGTTCAAATTCCAGTACCAAGAAAGAAATCCTTCCCATGGGGGGGTGCTGTTTCATGGAGCTGGTTATGTGTTGGAAACTTTTTATAACTTAAAAACATTAACATATTGTATTTCCTTTGTGTGGAAAAAAATCAGTGTTTCATAGAACATTAATATAGAGTGAAATTCAGGGGAGAGTATGGATTCTTGAATCAAAGAATCTAGGATTAAGACCTAGCCAGTTACTCACTAAATGATACTGGGTTAGTGGTTTAACCTCCCTCAGACTTTGTTATATCATCTGTAAAATGGGAACAGTAATAAGAGCACTCCCCTACCTAGGTTATTGACTGTCATGTGTAAATTTTTACAAAAAAAAAAAACTCATTTAAGTTCAGGAGGTAATGAGAAGCCAATGGAGTTTCTCAAAAGTGCTATTTAACAAGCATGGGGTTATTATTATTATTATTAAGATATTCTTGCAGAAAGAGGACATAGAAACTGGGAAGGTAAGACACTACTCCATCTTTACAACAAAGGGGAAAATGTACCAAAGGCAGCATGAAGAATTGAATTTTAAGATACTTTCCATTGTAACTATCTTTGTGGGGCTGGGCAGTGACTGATCTTTCTCACAGCTTACAACCAGGAGCAAATTTTGTCTTTCCAAGATAAGTCATGCTTATCTTGTTTTGTTGTTTTATTTAAATGTGATTCTAGAAAAAAAAATCCCAATTCCACCTGACTCAAAAGACATGGATGATTAAAAAAAAAGTCAAAATAAAAGTTGTTATAAAAACATCAGGGTAGGGGATATGGTAGTAGTGGAGAGCTAGCCTACTATGCACAAGACCTTGGGTTTCAATTCCCAGCACTGGGGGAAAAAAAATCATGTTAGCTTAGTCCACATCTAAACACTGAAAGTAACCAAACCAGGCCAAAGATACTTTTTGCTAGGATTAATTGGCACAAATCTACTAACAAAATCACACACTTATTTAGAAAGATGAGGTCAAGGCCAGACCTAGCTATGTTTCTCACTGTTCCCTTCCAATGAGTTATTGAGCCTTAAAAGAAGCCAGGTGTCACTAATTGCTGGAGAGACAGAGATAAGTAGGACCTGGTGCCTACTCTTTAAAATCTTACAGTCTTGTTGAAGAACTAGATGAGAATAAGGAGAGCTCTATAGGCTGTAGGTTTTGCTCAGTAATAGAACATGTGGCCAGCATGTGTAAGGCCTTGGGTTGGATCCCCAGCACCAGAAAAAAAAAAATACATACAAATGTGAGATCTAAGTATAGCTAACAATTATTGAGCAAGCACACTCTAATGTACATTTTTATTTGCATGCATTTATCAACTCATTTGATCCTGACAACTCAAGTTCCTCATGAAGATCTAGATACTCAAACCACTGCCACCAAGCTCTGTCTCTGCCTTACTTTGCACATTAACCTTATTGTCACCCAACCATATGCAGGCTTTTTCATGGGAAAGAAGCGTGCCAGCAGCTCAGGCCTGTGCCATCAGTCCAAAAAGAAGAGAGCCCACATTAATTTCAGTAGAAAAACCTCACGGCAACTGGGGAAGGAGTGAGGTTATGAATGCTTCATGTCAG